AAAAACATGTGGAGGTAAGTGGAGCTTCATTCAGTGCAGCCCAACTAAGAGATCCAGCTCCCTGAGAGCTTTTTTCTTTCTCTTATTCTGTTTACTGAGTGTGTCTGTGTCTGATTTGAACACCTGTAACATACCTGAGGTAAACCGATGGCATAAACAATGAATAACCGTGTGTCAGTTTAGAGCGATCCTCCTACTCGACGTGTAAAAGCCCCACGGTGTTTCATTCAGGCCTGTCTGTCAGCAGCAAACCGTCTCTGTCACAGTTGCTTTTTATTCCCACAGCGTGTCAAATGTTGTAACTTTGCTTCACATACGTGATTTATTCTGTTTCTGTGATTTAAAACGCGCCACATTAAGTCTGTGTTTTATTTTTTGCTCAACTATGCATTTACAGCATAAAAATGATAAATACTCATTTATATGAGAAGCTGGAGTTTTAGTGCCGTCTGGTGTTATTGTTCTCTAAAGAGCTCAGCTTTTACCCAGATCTCCATGCCGATGGTTCCCACCTGAGTCGGGGAGCAGAACCTCGTGCTCTGAACTATTCAAACACAACAGGACCAGCAGCAGCGCAGCTCACAGAACTGTGCAACTGCAAATGTCATTTTTCAAGCAAAATGTAATCAAAGCTGTAGCATTAATTATATGTTGAATTTTTCCACCTGCCCGTCGCGCTTCATTTTCCCGAACATTCAACTCGATTATAAAATCAAAGGCAGCAACCACAGAAAACGTCGCCTCTTTGTGACACAATCCACACACGACGCCGTTCGTATGCTCGGTATTTATAGATGCATATTCTGCTTTCTGCAGCGGAACAATCAGCCGGCGTTGCACGTTTTGACAAATAGTCCAATAAAGTCACTGAGTCGATACACGCGGCACATTATGATGTAAGGCCGAGCAAACACAAACAGACGTGTGCAGAGACAGCTTTCATCACAACTGTCATGTTCCTTTCAGATGATTGTTTGTCATGTGAAATGTGGCCGAGCATGTGGATGTGCAGGACTTCGATCACTGCTCCGTCACGAACACCGTCGAACGCCGTTAATTCACAACTACGACGTGTTATCTTAGCGTCACATCTCCGGCACGCCGGCCGATGAGGAGCTGAAGCTGCAGTATTTATGACAGGAGTGCGAGCCCTCGCTCAGCTACTTGTTTTACCTGCCAGGGCTGAAATCTTTCAGCTGTCACACTGCAAACAAATGTTGTAAACTATTCTCTTTGATTAGCAGTCGCTCTCATCGCCGCTCTGACTGCCAAACACAACGCGTCAGAGAACTTGCAAACAAGTCTGAGGACTCTGACCACTGCTGCCTCCTCCCTGCAACTTCTCATCTCGCTGCCACTCTCATGTCTGTTTACTTACAGCATATCAGGCTCTTGTCAGATACATATTGTACTGAAACTGCAAGGTTACTACAGGAAAGAAAAACCATCTAATAACTGTCCTGTGCTTTTCCCAGCAG